TATTTGGAAATATTGTCGTTTAAGTGCTTGCTTTTAAACCGATACGTTGATGCTTGTAATGAGCCAGTGTTTTAGGCGCTTAAGCTAAGTGAGATGATTTTTTGTCAGGTCAATCACTTACTACGATTGTAATCGAGCCGACTACTAATCATGTCAAATTGCTTATAGGGGCTAACTGGCGTACCAAGGAACCCGAAATTGCTGTATGAAGTCGAAATAACCGTTCTGAGAGGCTTCGAGCTCTGTCGCTATTGAAATATCTCTAGCGTCAAGAATTGGCTCTGTCGCCAGACGCTGGGATCTAGCGCCAGACGCTAGATGTTATTGCCAGACGACAGCCTTGTCGTCGGGTGCTGGAGTTGGGTCTTCCCTACTCTGCTCTTGCTGCCGTTGTTGCTTGGTTTTGCTCCGAACTTTGAGCTTGGTTGTTTCCTTTCAACCAAATCCGCTCAAATCTTTTGTAAATTAAAGATCTTCATCTCTAATTTACTAATCTATGTAACTCCTCTTATCTTAGAGGAATCTCCTGTGTCATATTCGCGGTTTTTTTCGAAAAAAAATCCGGGAATGTCCTCGCCTGCTGGGATGCACCTGCATTTATTTTTTACTATAGGACTTTGCTTATCTTTCTTTAGGGTTGACCTAAGACTTAGTGTTGACTCAATGTGATAACACGACATGATTCAATGTGTACATGACTCGTGTGTGCATTGTAATGTGATCGTGCGACTCTAAAATGCAAAAAAGCAAAAATTTTACGTTATTTTTGTGGAGGGTACCGACTTTCTCCCGAAAAAGAAAGACGCGAAAAAGAATCAAAGTTATTGAAGGTGCATGTTGAATGAGCTTAATCCGTTAACGTTGTCTCTCACAGTATAAGGATTGTAACATCTTAGACTATCCTAGTTGACTCGATAATGAAAATATTTAGGTAACTTAGGCGCGGAGGCTAAGCACTTCATACTTCGATGCAATGATGATTATGATTGATGAGTGATTTTGATATGACAATACATGCTTCAACGTTGTGTTAAGATTTCATGAGAAAGGGTTCCTAAGGGAAAGTATATTTGGTCATGTATCTGTGCAGTGTGTGAAAGTGACACTGAAGTTAGGTCGCAAGGATTAAGTGTGTGGAAAGATATTATTTTTTAAAAGAGTCAAATGGTGGTGACTCTTAGGCTAGGTAAGCTAATGATGTAGGGATCAAGCCCCCAAGTCTAGCTCTAAATGAATAGGGATGAGCGCAGGGGATCCCTTGATATGATCATGGTGTGAGTGTGTGAATGTGAATGTGAATATGAATGCAATTTTATTACGGCCGCACCTCAATGTGAGGTTACCTACGTATCCGTTAGGAATCAGGCCGAACGTAGCTCTAGCCGAACCTCACACAAGTGTGTATACCTCAAAAAGGTTTTTTTAAGGGTTGTAACGTGGTTAGGCTAAATGTTATAAAAGAAGGGGATAAAGGCTTAAGACCCTAGATAAGCCCCCAAGGTGTGCAACCTTGCTTTTGAATCTTTAATTTTTATGCTTGAGTTCCTACTCTTTTTTAGCTCTCTTTTATCTTTTGCTTTAGCGTCTATTTTATTTTTATAAGTGTGGGCAATCCCGATCATGCGGTCTATCACTCACTTGGCATTCATGTTTCTCAGGCACGGTACCGAGCACTCGATAAGAGACGCAATCTGAGACGTGTTCATATCAAAGACATTGGAACACTTGCCCTTTTGTACACTTTTTTTTTTTTTTTTTGCTTATTTTTTGCTATTTTATCTTTTGAAGTAACTCAAGTTTTTTTTTTTAAAAAAATGCATAAGTTACACACCATACCATCCCAAGGTTAGGTAGATAAGGGTTGAAAAAATGAAGGGTCTATCGCTAGACGAGGCTCAAAGTGGTTTACCAAAAAGGATTGCATATTTGAAGGGTGAAAGGTAATATGATATACCTTGTGCTTAATTCGACATGGATTTTTTTTTTTTTTTTAATGTAATGAAATGATCATATGTAAGAAAATAAATGCTCGTTTTATTTAAAAAGGGAAGAATAAAAACGAATTCTAAGAAATAAATTTAAGGAGGACGAAGGGTGCAGAGTTATTAGGGAAAGGGTTTGAAAAAAAAGAAGAAGAAAGCATGAATCTTGGTGAGAAGCTTGCCTTGTGCATTTGTTTCATCATTACCCTCATTTTTTTTTTGTCAATCACATGACTCAAACTCGATTAAACATGCATGTATGGAAGAAGGTAGGAAGAATTAAGGTTGTGATATGGAGAAAGCATGTAGAGAATGGAAAGATGATGTAGATGGAGAGATCGATATGAAAAAATAGGAATAGAATGTACCCCCAACTCAAATGACGGAAAACGATTCATGCATGAATCTAATACATGGTCATGGTGACATATACAAAGTGTGTACTAAGACTAGTGAGTGTAGTGACATGTTAAGACTCGTGTCATGACCATGTGGCTAGACTATGTGGCTAGACTCAAGCAAAGACTAAGTTAAGACTTCACGTATATGCATTAAACTGGACAGGTTGTGGTATTTTAGTCATAACTTTTGATCTGTGACTCTGATTGGGATGAAACCAACGCCAAATTAAAGATAAAACTTGGGGCTACAGATCCATAGGTTTTACGACGCGTAGTTATTCCTATAACTCTGGCTATGACCAAAACAAGTTGACGCTTGTGCAGTAAATGGGAATAAAAATCCGGGTTGACTTCAAGGAACTATGGCTCGATTTTAGACATATTTATTAGCTCAAATTAATTAAAAAAATTCCTTTAGTCATTAATCAGTTTATTTAGTCTTAACGCAAGTCAAACAAACGATTAGGAAAAATCACATAGAGTATGCACAACAGATAATATGCACAATTAGTCAAGTAGGCACAATATGATGCAATGAGTTTGCAACTTAACCATGGCTCTAGTTCTTTAAAGTTCAGGATATGGGTTAGTCAATAGAGGGTCCATGGTTAATTGTCCGAATGCACCGCGCGGAAGCCTAACCGTGAAGGGTTGGCGCGAGTGGATGGGACACCGCGAGTTTTCAAAAACTCGCTTCCATGGTTTGGTGAATTCAACATTCTCTGATGTACCCATTGTTTCTCAGAGCGTTAAATCAGATAGATGGAGCATGAGTTCCCAGAGGATTAAGCCCATATGTAGAACACATATGGGTTTCAGAAAAGTGAGAAAAACTCAATTAAGAAATAGGATCAAGCAAACAGTGCTAAAAACTGGTCAAAATTAGAACGCATATTTCTGGCTCGGTATTGGAAGAACTTGGCGCCAGCAAATAGAGGCCAGCGCCACAATTTGGCTTTAGCGCCTGGCGACAGTAGCTGTTGCCTGGCGCTAAAGTAAAATAATTGGCGCTAGACTTTGTTCTCTGACACTAGTTCCTACATGCCTCATCAGCTTTCTGTGCTCGATAAAATTTTCCAGCTTCGCGCAGCATTACTTCGATTCTAGTTGTAAAAGATATTCCTCAAATTTCCTACGTGTAAAAATCCTATGTTTTAACTCATTACGGATGGTCTTTCCAATGAGATCTTTTTTATGCATATGACAATAATGTTAATCAAAATTACGCGCATGAAATACTTAGAACTTTTCGAGTCTCATACACTCATTCTAAATCATTGCCGAAATAAATTTAGGAATTAAAATAGAAATCCTCCCCAGTGGAGTCGCCAAAAAACTGTAGGGAATATTTCAAGCATTATCCCTAACTTGAACCCCACTGTGATCATACACTAAAGTACGGTGGCGTCCAAAGGGAAAGAAGATAGAGCAAAAGAGTCACCCACAAGTTTTAGGAACTTGTAAACCGTTCATAGGGTGAAGGTTACACCCCTTAACGATCCAAGAGATCGTCAACTCCAATAGGTCTTGAACCATGACTAGTAGTTCGGGAATGAAGGTACAAATCCAACCTAAAAGAGATTGAACCTGCCCTAATAATAAGCCTCTACTTTATTCTGATCGTATTCATGTGCGCTTTCTGACTAACATGCAATCAATAGATTTACCCTAAACCTGTTTATCTATGTTGGTTGAATATTAATGCATAAATAAACTATTATTGGCGATCACTTGAATTATAATCAAATTAACCCTAAATAAGATTATTAATTATCTTATTAAGCGTGATTACAAGTACCAATTCCCTTTAAACATGCATAAAAGGTGTGATCAAGCAATAACAATAAATATAATCAAGCAACATAATAACAAAAATAACAGTAATAATATATAATCATAAATCAAAACAAAAATAATCATGAATCATGTTAAAGCATAATAATAATATCAAGATCCTAGGCATGATACTAACAAGATTAATAACAAATCCTAGCATATCACTAAGCAATAAAAATCAAATCTTTAACGCTAACATGATATTAACAACCATGAATATTAGGAAGAACATAAAAGGCATCATACTTTTAATCATACTTGATATTAAAGTTACCCTAGACATGATACTAGGAATTTAAATAACAATCTAAGCATGATTTCTGCATAATAAAACCAATAAAAACCATTAAAGTACTTACATGGATGCCTCGTACCTCTTTCTAATAACAAAATACACACGTTAGTAACTTCAAGGAAAATAATAAATCAAATAATTAAATTAAACAATTGAAATAAAGATTTGGGACCAAACCCTCAGAAATTAAAACCTTTCACGTATAGGGCGAAGGCAACTTCGAATATGGCTAGCTGTATCTAAGCCTTGCGAATGCCGAATTTTTTATTTGAGAGAAGGCTAGTTTAGAAAAGAGAGAAAGAGAGAGTAATCAAGAGAATCTTGATGAGAGTTGGTGATTAAAAAAAGGAAAATTGTAAACTAATAATCCCACCTTTACCCCGTCTTCCATAAATAATCCCACCTTTTGAAATTTCAGAAACAATCCCACCTTTGACAGGGATCTTCCACTAATGATCCTTTTGACCTAGAACCTGTTAAACCGATTAATAATTTTTTTTCTTAGTCTTTCTCCTTGGACCACCAGTCCACCACCATTCCACCCATGCTACTCATTGACGAGAAATCGTAACAAGTATCAAACAGTGTTACTCCCGTTGTTGACTTTAGGTGCGGCGTTAGCCGAGTGAATGCGGTTCGAAGCGAATTGTAGGCTTGAGTTGGTAGCCGAGTTATGGCTATGCCTGAATCAACGATAACCCCGCCCGAACCCGACTCGTCTACATCGAATAATGTTGGTGGGACGGAGATCTGCTGACCACCTACGCTGAACCCACTGAGTCCCACGTAGTAGAAGGTGTTCAGTTTATTGTTCTTGATCAGTGGCGCGGTTACGCAGTCCGCTGGTTTCGCGGAGTTGAACTTGAGTGAAGAGCTTTTGGGGGAGTCACGGTCGACTAAGCAGTAGGAGAACGAGGTAGCCTTGATTTGTGAGGGTAATGAGAGCGGGCCACCACCAAGCCCGAGAAGCCCGGCAGCACCTACGAAGAGTCCTTCGTTGTCGTGACCGCATCCTATTGCTACCTTTGGGATTTTCCCTGAGGTGCCAAACGACACCGTTTCGGTGACGAATTCACCGACGGTGTAGGACCCGTCGTCGTAGGAAACCTGGTAGAGACACGCGCTGTTGCGGTACGCGCTGACCTCGAGGGTGGAACACTCACGTGTGCTGCACGTGAGAGGGGAGTAAGTAGAGGAGGATGAAGGGGTGTAGATTGGGTCGCTTTGCTGGTAGCAGTCGGAGCAAGGTTGACATTGGAGCCAGCTGACGTCACTGCCTGTGTCAATAACCATGAAGTACTCCTTTGAAGGGGAGCCGACACCGACGCGTGAGAAGTACAACCTGTTAAAAGTCGACACGTGTCTCATAACCTAGTAAAACCGGTTACCAAAATAATTTAACCGGTTATGCATTGTTAGTGGAAGACCCCCGTCAAAGGTGGGATTGTTTCTAGAATTTCAAAAGGTGGGATTATTTATGGAAGATGGAGTAAAGGTGAGATTATTAGTTTACATTTTTCCTTAAAAAAAGGGATATATGACCTCTATTTATAGAGAAAAAAGAAAGGCGAAAAATAAAGAAAAGAATCTGAATTCGAATCGAGATAGAACTCGATGGACATCAGTTTTTGCGGATTTTGTTTTTATCATATCTTTTGATCCAGAAGTCGAAATAAGGCATATAATATGTCGTTGGAAAGATCTCAAAGTATAATTTCCAACCCAATCAGAATTAAATTAAAATATTTTGTAGAAAAAAAGTTATGGCAAAAATATTTGGACGGTGTCAGTTTTGGATAGAGTTTCATATCTTATTCATATCTTTTTCGTTATAGCTCGGAATTAATATTATAATATATCATTGGAAAGATAATTTCAAGATCTATCCAACAATATAAAATTTGGATAAATATTATGAGGCAAAAAAATAAAATCTTACTGTCTTTGAACATCTTTAAATTCGAATAGAATTAGGATTTAAGAAAAGGAAAGTTTTAAAAAAGGAAAGCTTTTATTTAACTCAAATTCTTTAATGTTATCTTTTCAAAAAGGATAATTAAGATCTTTTAGAAACTTATAGAAGCTTATAATTAACCCTAATTAGTTAGGAATAGGATTAAACCTTTGGACCCTCCACATGATCATTGGGTCGTAGGTAAAATCCGGTTTGGGCCTAGTTTAGTATTTTGGCCTTAACTTCCTCATTATATATCGGAATTGAGCTTATAATATATCGTTGGAAAGGTATTTTCAAGCCCCATCCAACTACACTATTATTGGACCCATATCATGGACCAAACTAAACTAGAATGCACGTTTTTCAAAAATAGGGTAAGAAAAGAAATATTTTCAAAAATAGAAAGAAAAGATATTTTAATAAGAACATCCTCATCACTAGACTTTTCACAATTTCGCTTTGTTCGATACTCAAATTATATGAAAGGTACTCATCACTGGGTTTGGTTTTGGGGAGACACAAATGGGTGTCTACACCAACAGAGCCATCATCCCTCTCATACTTAATCAGCATGAGAGAAGGGATGATTACAGCCTTGGCTTCGTTAAGGGTTGGACTGCCTAAAATGATGTTATAGGCAGTTAGTTCCTCAACGACCAAGACCAACCAAGGGGTGGGTAACCGGATAGGTAGTCCTTTTCCTTTTTCACCCAGTCCTTTTCCTTTTTCACCCAGTCGGATAGGTAAGTCGATCCTACCGACTGGGTAAACCATCCCACCCCCAAAACCAACCAAGGGGTGGGTAACCAGATGCATGCTGCTGAGTTTGTATTTTAGCTTTTGCAGGCACCGGAGACTGATGATGTCTGACGAGCTACCAGTGTCAATAAGGATTCGCCCAACCAGCTGGTTGGCGACCACACATTCAATGACGAGTGTGTCGTCATGCGGACGGCGGATGGTGCCCCTGTCCTTCTCAGTAATCAGAACGTCTGGGAAGGAGGAGCTAGCTGTCTCCTGCTCATCATCATCATCATCATCATTGTCCATCTTTCGAAGATGGCTCTTGGTGCCCCGGATGATAGGGCCACCGCATGAGAACCCACCTGTTATAGTGTAGACCGGTTCTTTATCGGTTTCCGAGCTACTAGCAGGCTGGGGTGTCTTAGAGGAATGCCCCAGGTACTTCTTATTAGTCTCATTGGACATAGAAATGTAGGACTTTAACATCCCTTTATCAGTCAGATACTCCAACGCTTGCTGAAGGCTGAAGCAGTCGTTGGTGTCATGGCCAACTTCCTCATGGTATTGGAAAAATTTATTTTTTTGTTCCTTGATTGAATGGAACTTTTCATTGGATTTGGCTTCTCTAGAGACAGCCGGTCCTTGATCTCCATGAGGATGGAGTTGCAGTCCTTATTAAACTCGTACTTGGGGATGTACGGTTTAAATTCTATCTTTTTCTTCTAGGACGGCTGGTTAGAATCACTCACCGCCCAGACTTCTTTTCTCTTCTTGCTCACTTTTTTTTTTTCTTCACTGGCTGAGCAGGCCAGCTTTCTTTTTGTTTATCAGACTTCATGGAGTCCGACTGGCCAGCAGGCGAGAAGAGGTCGGTTGCTTGAATATAGTTTTCCGCCTCCCTCAGGACCGCCTGTAAGGTAAATGCCCCTTTTTCTGACAAAGTCGAACTTAAAGGTCAACCTGTCTCTCAGACCCTTAAAGAAGTCTGTAAAGGCAACTTTGTCAGACAGTCTCTGAATCTGATTTATGGTCAGATTGAACCGCCTGACGTAAGAGCGTAATCCTTCTCTCTCTCCCTGCTTAATGGTGCTCAAGTCAAAACTTGTTTTTTTCGCAGGGATGTTCATTCAGAAGTTGGAAGCAAACAAGAAGGCAAGATTCTTGAAACTATCGTTGGAACCGGCTGGCAGGTTGCCAAACCATTGTTGGGCAATGCCCTTCAATGTAGTCGGAAAACATCAACACCAATTGACATCATCTAACCCCTATAAATACATGAAGTTGGTATAAGCCATGAAGTGATCTTCCGGGTTAGAGGTACCATCATAAGTACCTACCAACACATTTTTAACCTTGGCCGGCTGTGCCGCCTCGGTTATTTCCCTGTGAACGCAGAAGGTTGTTCACCCATGTGGAGCAGGCGAAGCTACCAGTCAAGTGGTAGGACATTGATGTATGCCGCCTAACCTCTAAAGAAGGTCGGCTGCATGAAATGAGGAGAGTACAGGATGTAGACCCTAGGCGGTAAGTACGGTGCATTCCCAATCATCTGAGGCCCTGAATGGACGGTATTACCGTCTGTATGTCTCTGATGCAAGGATTGCACATTCCCTGCAGATATATTCTTAAAGCTGTCTGGGAAGCTTGAAGTGGAAGCTGACTCAGAGAACTGTTGATTCCTCTTGCGGGTGATAATCTCCCGGGCATCAAGAGTGTATTTTTTGTTTCCTACCGGTTGTTCACTCCGGCGGGTATTTTTGGTATTACTCTTAGGCAGAAGAATCTTGGACCAGTCAATGGTCCCGGATGCCTTCTCCTTTAGATGCGGAGTTGGATGCCTATCTTTGACTGGCTTCCTCTTCTCTAGAGGAGTCTTCCTTGCCGACTGACCCTTGCTTGGGTCAGCCAAGCTCTTAGTGATCAGATCCTTGATTTCACCGTTTAAACTAGTCATGAATTTCATTAGTTCGTCTTGGGTGACTGGGGCGGATGCGCTTGGTTATGGATTTCCTCTTCCGACTGGTCAGGAGGTCGACTTGTACCCGCCTAGCTTGCACCCCGCCCCAGAGTGTCCCTGGGCCGTATGCGCTTGGTTATCAGAGAGCCATCATTGGTTATATATGTTTCGACTTGAGGATCATCCTCCTCTTGGTCAGTAAAGACCTCCGGTTGGTCTACCGGATGCTCAGGAGGTGGTACATACTCTTGAACCATCCTTGAGGTACTCTCCCCACAGACGGCGCCAATTTTTTTTGGTATTATCGTCCCTCGGTAGAGTTACGTCACAAAGATTGGTCCGGCTCGAGCTGCACCTGCAAAACAACGGAGACTCCGGTTGTTGGAGCTCCACCTCTGACGATCAAGTTAGTAACTTAAAAGAGAATAAAGAGTGCAGAAATTTAGGTGGGTCTCTGCTTGGATTCCAAGCTCATGTGTTTCTCTGATGAGAGAGAAAGTAGGTGTAATAAATGATTGATTGTGTCCCCAAAATAGTGAAATATCTCCCTATTTATAGGGTCGTTGGTAGGTGTGCACCAATCTAGGTCACTTGACCTAGATTTTAGTGAGCTGCGCCGAATTACGGCACTTCTTGGGATTTAGGCCCTTGAAGGCTGCAATTTAAGAAGTTATCTGAAGGGGACACGTGTAAGGTGGCTATTGGGACAACCTGAGCTTGACACGTGGCCTTCTCTTATTGGTCCACATGTCTAGGGTATTTTTACCCTAAACAACACCCACCCATTTTCCGGTAATATCCTTCCTTGCTCTTTCTGAAGTGGTTGATGCCTTGTTGGATAATGTTGGTTTGTTGGATTTATCTCCTTGTTTTCCCCTCCCATGGTTTCTATGATTTATGTTTTAGTGTATTGTCTCATTCAAGATTGGGGGACGGTATTCTATCATGTTTGATGGGATGTTGATTCATAAATGCTATGCACCTTTGTATATGCTTTTCCATGTTCTATATCTAGAAAAACTCAAAAAAGATTTTTGTTTCTATCAAGGCAAATATGCAATGTATCTTTGTTTTGTTATGGACATAATACTTTTAGACTTGTATAGTTGAATGCTTTTCTTCTTAAATGGTAACGGTGCGCACGGTTTGAGAGTATGTTTGGTTGATTCTAGGATAGAGTATGCTAAGGTAGTCGTTTAGGACTATTTGGACCTTGAAGCCGGATTCTATTTGTTTTTGAAAATTTGCAATTGCTCCATTTTGGTGAATTTGTAGCTAATAGCGAGTTTTTGCTACAACCATGTGAGGTTTCATTGTTTTCAAGCCTTCTACATATCTTGCATGAGCGGCATGGATCCTTGACTTTTGCGGACCTAATCTTGAATCTTGACTCATAATTCTCAAACACGAGACCGAACCATCTAGGGAGGATAAAGGCATCTTTTCGGGGTGGTAATTTTTCTTTTTCTAGGTTAATCTTCTTTATTTCTAGTTATTGGGTCTACATTTTCCTTCTTGCTAACCATTTGAGCCTTTTCCCTTATTTTCAAGCTAAGCCACATGTTTAGAACTTTGAGCCTTTTGTTTCTTTTTGTTCCATTTTTTGTTTTTATGAAGCAAATCATCATGTTCTTGGAGTTTGTGGTATATTAGTTAGGATATTAGTTCCTTTTGTAAGCAAGCTTGTGTTTTATGTATATTTTGTGAATAATGGCAACTGTATGATGGAAAAAGCGGTCAAAAGTTTTAAAAGGCAAGGACATAATAAATGCAAAGTTGTAAGAGTCGTCCATAGTCAAAAGAGGCAAGGACAATCACTTTGAAAAAAAAACAAAAAAAAAAGTGAAAATGAGAAAATTCAAAAATATTTTAATGTGAATTATTCTCCCTTTCTAAGCATTGAGGACAATACTTCATTTAAGCTTGGGGGATAAGCATTTACGCTTCTTGTATATATGTTTGTGAGTATAGCTTTGATTAAGCTTGGGGGTGTTAGTTTGTTTTTGTTTGGTGAATACTTGATTGTGATTCTAAGAAGGCGCCTTCTTTACTTCACTATTAGGGATACCACCAATTTTGTAAATTTTAGCCTACCCTCACCCTTTTTGCCCTTACATTACAACAATTGGGAAAGACCTTTTGACCTAGAGGTTGAGTCACATATGGAGGGAGGGCATTATGAGTTAAAGCCTAAGGAAAGGGGATGCAAAGTAAAGATGTTGAGAAACCTCAAATCTATTTATTTTTCCGGTTCCTTCGAGGAGCTATAGAGACCTTCACTAAAAGTAGATTTGAAGCCAATTGGGAGAATGTGCTAAAATGTTATGATGAAAGTGAATCGCGTTTCATTAGTTCTCTATGCTTAGCATATCCTATGTTTCAATCAACCTTAGATATCTTGGAACGTGCACTCCTTACATGTTTAGAAAGATTTGCATTCATTTATGCTTGTACATTTGGAAAAGTCCTTTCATGAACATTTGTATGTTTTTCTTGTATTTTGGTTTCTTCTTCATGCGTTGCCTTGTTTTTATTATTACGAGAGTTATAGGTTAATCTCTTAGGAAACCTTTACTAGAGCATCACTCGTCCTCTCGGGCGATAGGGTTTAAATGGCTTGTCTTTAGTTGCTAAAATTGACCAGGATTCCTATGAAAGTGAGTTAGTGTATATTCTTGTCTCTTCTCTTCTTTTGTTGTATGAATAAGCTCATCATTTCTCCCTTGGTTTTGTTTTTCTCGAGGACGAGCAAAAGGTAAGCTTGGGGGTATTTGATGGGTGTCATAAATGGCACCCATTTGATGAGAATTTAGGTTGTTTTCTTCCTCTTTTCATATCTTTCATGCTCAATAAATGCCTAGTTTTATGCATTTGGTCTTGGCTTTACCTTTCCTCTCTTATTTTGTAGCTTTTGTGCATTTTGCCGGTTTTTCTACTATTTTCTCCTTTATTTGCTCTATTTTTGTGGTTGTAGGCATTGTACGAGGTCCGGGTCTTGATATTGGTGATTTTACTAAGGAGGAAGATGCTTTTGGAGTGTAGGGAATATTTCAAGCATTATCCCAAACTTGAATCCCATTGTGATCATACATTTAATCATGGTGGCGTCCAAAGGGAAGAAAGCTAGAGCAAAAGAGTCGCCAACAAGTGTTAGGAACTTGTAAACCGTTCACATGGTGAAGTTTACACCCCTTAACGATCCAAAAGATCGTTATCTCCAATAGGTCTGGAACCATGACTGGAAAGTTCGAGGATTAAGGTATAAATTTAATCTAAAAGAGAAAGAACCTGCCCTAATAATAGGCCTCTACTTTATTCTTCTCATATTCATGTGCACTTTCTCACTAACATGCAATCAATAAATTTACCCTCATTACTACAAAGTTGGGCTTAAGTAACATCCATTGGTAACACTATACAAATTTCATGATTGTTTGATTTTTAAGTAACACTTATGTAACATTGTGGTATTAGGTAACATTTTTTGTAACACTTTAATGTTAGATAACACTTTATAGTAACACTTTAATATTAGGTAGTACTTGGTTGTAACACTTCAATATATACTAGGTAGAAATTGGTTGTAAAACATAATTTGATAATTTTTTTTTTATTAAAAGACCCTCACAGTTTTACAAGTCATAACTTGCTCTCTTCCTCCCTCGTATTTATCGGTTTCTCCATTAAGCTTTTACTTTCTCTTAAATTTGCACCTCGACACCTCCTTTTCACTGCTACCCCCTTTTTGTTCTCAGTGCTCCTCTGTAGCCCCCGTCCACCGCAGCCTCCTTCGCAACCTGTGCTCTAACCCAAAGACGTATGCAACACTCTGTGGTCCTAGTTGAAGAGATAGCGATGATTGCCACCTCCAAAGACAGCGATTGGCCCCATCTGGCTTCCATTTTCAATGGCTTCCACCTTAAAGTTTGGGTCAGGGTTAGTTTTATTCCCCCTCCCTTCCATTATCAATAGGAATTTATGTTAGTTAAATTTAACTTAATTTGATGTTGAATTTGCCTATTAACATGTTTAATTTCACTATTATCATCCTGAATTTTGCATAAATCTTAATTGCTCGAAGTATTTTGATGAATTTGGGATTTTTGTTTTTTCTTTTTTTGCGATTATTGCTGATTTGATTTACCTTGTAATTTTATCTTTGTTGACTAATCTAACCAATTTAAATTTAAAATTTTCTATTCTTAATTTAATCCTCATAAGCCAGTTATAATCGGAGGAATGGTATTTGATATTCAAGCTATTGCATGTCGCTATTCTTGCTACTGCCAAAACCACCACTCCTAGGATTGCTATTTTTTTTTTTTTAATATTAAGCTATAATCATGGAATCGGGTTAATTATATTTGTTTGAGTTAATTCACATTGTAGCTTCAATTTTGTAAGGCTTTGATGATGTTAGTTGAATTAAGTGATGGCTGAATATCCACATTGATTTATTGAATTTTAATTCTGGAAAATTGAGAAGAATTTCTGATATAATTTCATAAATTATGGACTTATGACTTTTTTGTTATCATTGAAAGATGTCAATTCTCTATCTGATATAAATGGAGTAATGAGATTTTTGCAAACAAGGTTTTTCCTTAGACTCACATTTCATTTTATAGGACATTGATGAATGAAACTTAATGCAAGCAAATCCATATTAGTTAGTTACAAGAGTGGAGTAGGCAAGACAGAGGCTGCAAATATGATTATGCAATAGCTTATCTTTTTGGTTGGTTCATCGTGCCCTTACTTACAGTGGATTGTTGAGAAATAAATTTTGGAGGTAAGAGTTTAAATGTGGATAATTGTTCTGTCTTCATGCCATTAATGTGTAATCACCTCTCACAGTTGAATTCGTAATAAAAACTTTTATGATCAAGGAAAGTAGAAAATAGCATTTAGTTTAACTAATTCAAACAAAGATGACTCCATACTTAAATTACCCCACACCCCCTCCCTTTGAATATAGAGAGCATCACTTACTTGTTTGTTGTATATATGTTTATGACAGGTAAGTACTTCTAGAAATTGTGAATTTTATAGTCTAATTATAGTTCCATGCTTGTCCAGTTGTCCTGGTGTGAGGAATCTTTTACCTTATAACTCCAAATTGATTGTATAGTGGTTGCATACATACCCTGAATTGTACTTATTCTTTATATAGCTCGTTTTCTTTCAAACCTAAACTGTCTTATATTTTGAGCTTTATGAATCATGCTTTTCATTCTAGAATTTCCCATTGTCTGCTTTTTTCTTTTGGTCAAGGGTTTGGATGGACTATGGGCTAGTGAGAATGTTTGAAACGGTGAGTAAAAGAAATTGATTATATTTTCCAAGTTTTAATTTTGTGAGTGTTAAGATGATTATTTGGCTAATTTTTTGCAATTCACTCTTTTTTTTTTTCTTCTGGATTTTGCGTGATTTTATATTTGGATTTAAAGTGTTAGATAAGTTTAGCTTCTACTTCAGTCAGAAAACTCTGTTTTAATACTCTATTTATCTCTTTCTCCTAGCTACATTATCAATTACTTCTAGTCAAGCTCTCGGTTGTACAAGCTAAGGACTAGCAAATTAGCACGATAGTCTACTTTATTGTGAAGTGGTACTTATAAGAGTTATGCAATGACTAAAGTTTGAATGAGTATTTAAGATATGCATTAATTTAGTGCTCGCAAGGCATGTGATTTATCTAAATCTCACTATATTAGTGTGTCTTTCCTGTTCATCTTAGTTATAAGAGCCGCATTTTAGTTTTGTCCATATAATCATCATGTGTAATAGTACTCTAGATAGTAGCTAAATCATATAGGATCACTGTGATGTTGCTAGTTGTTAGAGTTATTGTGGACCCATGAGTCAATAGGTGTCACTATGTTAGTGATACGTTAGGCATTTATCTTGAACTCGTAGCCATCTATAATTAGTATGCCACTAATCATTAAAATCTTATCATGCTAAACACATAGACACTTTTATGGCATGGTATAAAACAAAAGAGTGCATCTAAGCCAAAACCACGTAGAATGCATATTTCAGCTCTTTTGTATAATGTTCACCTGAGCTGAGAGCCTTAGGGTGTACGAGCATGTGAAAAGAAATGAGCATCTCAATAATGTTGGCTGAGCTAAGAGCCTGAGGTTCGTGTCCCTCTCAAAAGTACATTTCATTTACTACTAGACTATTAGTTTATACTTTTTAAAATTCTAATTATATTTACTAATTCTCATCCATGTATGAGCAGGGGAGTGAGATACCATGAGTTAGAGCATTGGAAGTTCAAAAATGATGGAAAGAAATACTTTCGTTATGCTATAGAGCCCAAAAAAAACATGTTTGCATGTATGTAGATGCTAATGTTACTGTTATTGCTGCTATTGGTACTGACGTCTAATGCTGTTATTGATGCTTGTTGCTACTGATGTTTGTTGCTACTACTACCTGTTGGCCTCGTACTGCTGATTAATGTTATTGCAAGTTGCTGCTAGCTGCTGTTACTTCTAGGCAAACAAAAAATTGGTGTTTATGGATTCTTTTTAAATAAATTATGAAAATTTATCAATTCAAATTATTGTCTACTATATGCGTTAATTTCACATTCATATTTGTTGTACATGTTAATATTATTTTTATATTTAAGAAAAAGAAAAAAGTTACATATTAATAATAAATGTTACCTATTAATTAATAAGGTGTAACATTATTTTGTAAAATGTGATACATAATCTCAACTAAAGTGCTACAATATATAAAAAAAAATGAGTGAAAAATGTTACCTAATAATCAATAAGCTGTTACATTTGTTCGAAAAATGATACATAATGTCAGATAAAGTGTTACTATATGATTGAAAAATGTTACCAAGGCAAGTAAGTGTTACCTAAGAAATAAAAAGTAACACTTTAAAAATGATACTAATAATATAAAAAATGTTACATAAGAGGGTTTATAGTATCACTGTTGAAACTGTTACCATGCAACACCTAAAGTATTACATAAGACCTAAGGTAACATGGGCAAAAATATCACCCAATAAAGTGTTACTTATTGTCTAAAATAGCACTTTTACTACTTTATGTAACACATTATAGGTGTTACTTAAGATTAGTTTTGTAATAGTGCCTGTTTAATCTATGTTGGTTGAATGTTAATGAACAAACAAAACTATTATTGGCGATCACTTATATTATAATCAAATTAACCATAAACAAGATTATTAAATAATATCTTATTATGAGTGATTACAAGTACAAATTCCCTTTAAACATGCATAAAAGGCGTGATCAAACAATAACAATAATATATATCAAGCAACATAATAATAATAATCATAATCCAAATCATAATAATCATAATTAAAATAATTATGTTAAAGCATAATAATAGCAAGATCCTAGGCATGACACTAACAAGATTAATAACAAACCCTAGCATGTCACTAAACATTAAAAATCAAAGCTTTAATCCTAACATGATACTAACATGATATTAAGAAACACTGTAGGAAGCATCATAGAAATGATAATTGATATAAGGAACTTATTGTTGTCACCCTAAACATCATACTAAGAAAAGCATCCTAACATGATACTAGGAAAAACATCCCAAACATGATTTCTATATCATAATATCAATTAAGCAATTAAAGCACTTACTTGGATGCCTTATACCTCTTTATAATAACAAAATACACACGTTAGTAACTTCAGGGAAAATATAAAACAAATAATTAAATTAAATAATTGAAATAGAGATTTGGGAAAAAACCCTCAGAAAATATCAACCTTTCACGTCTAGCGAGAAGGCAACTTCGAACTTGACTAGGTGTATCTAGTGCTAATGTATGAGGAAATGTGTTTGTAAAAGACTAGGCTTAGAAAGAAAGAGAGAGAGAGAATAAGCTTCAGCATAGAGAGAGAAAAAAATTAGAGAATTTTGGTTGAGACTTGATGCTAAAAAACGGAGGTCTAAGGACGCTATTTATAACAAAAATCAGTCCGGATTTGTTAAAAAAAAAAATCAGAGTTCGAAGAGGAATAAAACTAGACGATGTCACCGCAATAGCCCCTGTCGCCGCGAGAAAGAGTGCAGCACCGCGCGACAGAGTCTGTCGTCACGTGACATGCTTGTCGTCCGGCGCTGCAAGACGGTTTTTGCGGATTTTGTTTTTATCATATCTTTTTATCCAGAAGTCCAAATAAGGCATATAATATGTTTTTGGAAAGCTCATGAATTCTAATTTTTAACCCTATTGTAAAGAGATTAAAATATTATTTAGATAAAAATATATGGCCGAAATAGTGGAAGGGTGTCAGTTTTGGATAGAGTTTCATATTCCATTCATATCTTTTTCGTTATAGCTCGGAATTAATATTATAATATATCATTGGAAAGATAATTTCAAGATCTATCCAACCATATAATATTTGGATAAAGATTATGAAGCATAAAAATAATACCTGACTGTCTTTGGACATCTTTAAATTCGAATAGAATTAGGATTAAAAAAAAGGAAAGTTTTATTCAATTTCAAACTCTTTGATCTTATGTTTTCAAAAAGGATAATTAAGATCTTTTAGAAACTTATAGAAGCTTTTAATTAATCTTAATTATTTTAGGAGTAGAATTATACCTTTTGGACCCTCCACATGATCATTGGGCCGTAGGTAAAAACTGGTTTGGGCCTAGTTTAGTATATTGGCCATAACTTCCTCATTATTCATCGGAATTGAGCTTATAATATATCGTTGGAAAGGTCTTTTCAAACCTCATCCAACTACACTATTATTGGACCCATATCATGGACCAAACTAAACAAGAATGCACGTTTTTCATAAATAGGGTAAGAAAAGAAATATTTTCAAAAATAGAAAGAAGAGATATTTTAATAAAAAAACATCCTTATCACTAGACTTTTTACAATTTCTCTTTGTTCAATAATCAATGACATGAAAGTTATTCATTACTTGGTTTGGTTTTGGGGAGACACAAATGTGTGTCTGCGGAAGCCTCCACTTTGACTGAGTTTGGAGAAACTTATGTTTTGAAAACAAAAGTCAAAGTATCGATAGGGACGGAGAATGATTCAGAACGTTCTGCGATCCTAAATCATTCTTTTAATGTTGATACCTGCAAACTAGCGTTAGTTAAAACAGATAAAAGAGTTAAGAAACATGTATCTTGCACCGTCTAGCACACGTCTCTGATAGTAACCGATTTGTCGCATTTGATGTTGTGACAACCTTCCACAAGCTTGGGAACGCCATCTTGTTGTTTTGATGTTGTGGTCGTGCTTTGCCGCTGTTGATGTTCACTCGTCTTTGAACAAAAGAGCTTCTTTTGTTTATTATGTCCACGCATCTCTGAACAAAAGATCTTTGAATGATATGCCCACGCGTCTCTGAGTGAAAGAGCTTTTTGATATCTCCACGCGTCTCTGAACAAAAAGCTTTGAATGATATGCCCACGCGTCTCTGAGAAGTTTTTAGGGATGTTTACTCGTCTCTGAACAAAAGAGCTTTGATGATATGTCCACGCGTCTTTTAACAAAAGAGGTGCTGATGAGATGTCCACGTGTCTCTGAACAAAGAGCTTGATGATATGTCCACGCGTCTCTGAACAATATAGCTTGCTGATATGTCCACGCGTCTCTGAACAATATAGCTTTGATGATATGTCCACTCGCCTTTGAACAAAAGAGCTTGAAAGGATTGTCCCTGCGTCTCTGAACAATAGAGCTTTGATGATATGTCCACGCATCTCTTAACAAAAGAGTGTGAAAGGACTGTCCACGCATCTCTGAACAATAGAGCTTTGATACTTGAATGTTTGTTGTGATCATTGGTTGGCTACGAACTGGTGCTTTGCTGAATCATTGTATCCTGTAAAAACCAAAAGATTGACAAAAGACTTTGCTGGTGCTTTTCTTAGGGTTGACCTAAGGCTTGATGTTTTTTTTCTTAGGGTTGACCTAAGGTGATTGACTGTCTTGAGGTTGACTTAAGGTGACTGATTGACTTGAGGGTTACCCAAGGTAAATTGTCACGTGTGACTCATAACTCGTGTGTGGATTGTATTGTGATGTGCTTGACTCAAAATGCAAAAAAGCAAAAAAATTTCGTCATTTTTGTGGAGGGTACAGACTTTCTCCCAAAAAAGAAAGACGCGAAAAAGAATCGAAGTGTTGATGGTGCATGTGGAATAAGCTTAGTCAAATGTTGTGCAAGGATTAATTCATCCAAGGGTATCTCAATTGTTGACTCCATGATGAAAGTATTTGGGTAACTTAGACACGGAGGTTAAGCACTTCGTATTTTGTGATGCAATGATGAATGACGAGTGATTTTTTTATGACGAAGTATGCTTCAATGTTGGGATAATATTTCATAAGAAAGGGTTCCTTAGGGAAAGACTATTTGATCATGTATCTGTGCACTGTGTGAAAGTGACACTAAGGTTAGGCCGCAAGAGCTAAGTGTGTGGGAAAATATTATTTCAAGAAGAATCAAATGATGGTGACTATTTAGGCTAGGTAAATTAATAATGTAGGGATCAAGCCCCCAAGTCTAGCTCTAAGTGGATAGGGATAAGCATAGGAGATTCCTAGATATGATCAATTATGAATGTAAATATGAATGTATTTTTATTACAGTCGCACCTTGATGTGAGGTTGCCTACGTATTCGTTCGGAATCAGGCCGAACGTAGCTCTAGCCGAACCTTGCACAAGTGTGTGCATACCTCAAAGAGTTCTTTTAAGGGTGGTTAGGCTAAGGTTTGAAGAAGAAGGGGATAAAGGCTCAAGACCCTCGATAAGCCCCCAAGGTGTGAAACCTTGCATTTGAATCTCTTTTTTAGCTCTCTTTTGCTTAAGCATTTATTTTATTTTATAAGTGTGGGTCATCCCGATCATGCAGTCTATTACTCACTTGGCATTCATGTTTCTCAGGCACGGTACCGAGCACTCGATAAGAGACGCAATCTGAGACGTGTTCTTATCAAAGACATGTTCATGTCAATGACATTGGAACACTTGCCCTTTTGTACACTGTTATTATATTTTTTTATTGCTTATTTTTTTTCTATTTTAATCTTTTGAAGTCACTCAAGCTTTTTGTGAAATTTAAAATTGCATAAGTTGCACACCATCCCATCGCTAGATATGGGTTGAAAAATAAAAAGGTCTATCGTTAGACGAGCCTCAAAGTGGTTTATCAAAAAAGGATTGCATATTTGAAGGATGAAAGGTGATATAATGTGGCTACAAGGGTTGCCTCAAATCATTTGTATACCTTGTTCTTAGTTCGACTATATTTTTTTTTTTTTTTTTTTTTTTTGCAATGCAATGATCATATGTAATGAAATAAATGCTCATTTTATTTAAAAAGTGAAGGGTAAAAATCAAACTCTAAGAAATAAATTCAAGGAGGATGAAGGGTGCCTATGCTAGATTTATTGGGGAAAGGGTTTGAAAAAAAAAAAGAAGAAG